TGACCAGGACCTCGCAGGTGCTCTCAGCTGGCGCGCTGATTGGCTGTAGGAGGCATCCGTCAAAGGGGAGGGGCCAGCACCAGAGACGGAATCCTGATTTCTCCTCCGCCACAAAAATCCTGCAAAGGTTTTAATCTAATATGGAGTCCGCCTGAGAACGAGGACGCTGATTGGCCAGGAGCACCGGAAGTACGCTCTGGGTTAAATGTAGTTTATTCTCTGCGCTGATTGAATATTAAAGAAATCCCCAGTAAACCAAAAACAGCTGAGTATACATCACACAAATCACCCAGGAGGTCAAACAGGAGGAAATAATAATACAAAAAAACTTTATTTATTTATTCCAGTTCAAATGTTTGGTCACATGATTGCAAATCAGAACCACTGACTTGGAAAACTGTGACTGGAGTGAAGCGAGAGCACGAGGGGTGAAAGCAAACATCCCTTCATCATTCTCCTCTCTGAGACAGAAACGTGAAAGGAAACAGTTTAGTAGTTGTAGCTGCTCATGAAACAAAACTCCAGGGAACTGTCGAGGAACTCGGTGTGACTTTGTGGCTCTGCAGAGCTGCTCTCAGCCTGATGATCCACAGGTCTGTGCAGGTACAGATAAACGCTCACCTGAGGCAGAATAAGCGTTGGCGTCCTGTTCCTGCCTCTGTGAGCCGGACTGACACAGAGAGAAACAGGCTGAAACACTCAGGTCATGGTCTGAACGTAGTTTTCCTCTTCTAACACACAGAAGGTCTTTCCAAACTCAAGGTTAGTATTTTAACATTCATGGGAAAAAAACAGAGTTTCACAAGCCTGTGAGCTGAGTCAGATCACTGTGGGTGAGGAATTAATCTGACTCTAACGATCAGTGGCTGTTCTGGGATGTCGGCTGTGCAGCATCTGAGGTTTATAAGCTGTGAACAAATATTTAGTGACCTGAGCTTCATGAAATCACCGAGGTTCCCTCAGAGACAGAACACCTGCACAAACATCTGTAATCAGATATTTGAAATCTACGTTGGATGATACAAATAAGCTGTTTCCAGCTCAGTGTTTTCTGCTGCACGCTGGACTCTATCAGATGACTCCAGGACATGCAGATTTTTATCACACAGCAGTTGGTGTCACTCCATGCTGGCTATGAATCCCTGCGGCGGCACGTTTCTGTAATCGTGCTTCTCTGATGTTGTTTTGTGCGGGTAAAAGCCGTTCATGCTGAAAGTCCATCCTACCATGGAGCGACCGGCCCTGCAGACTACAAGAAAGCAAACATAACAGCAAATTAAAAACCACAACAATCTGTATTTCTTCTCATTTGTTATTGACTATGTAATAAAATATTACATATTCATAATGTAAATAAACTCCTGAGGGCGTCCTGCTCCTGCCTGACCCACCTCAGCGGCTCCTCCACCCTGTCTCTAAGGAAGAGACGGACACGGGACACAAGAAGCTCATTTCTGTTGTTTGTATCCATGATTCACTCCTCAGAGGTCATGACCACAGGTGAGAGTAAACCTGTGGGGTTGACCTACAACTGAACAGCTTCAGGGTCAGCTCTGTCTTCACCACAACACACCTGTGCAGCATCCACTCCTCCCCTCAATCATGAGGACGACCTCGAGACACTGGAGAAACTCTTCCACTTGGGGAGCCAGTTGTCCCACAGTGGCTCTGCAGCTCCGGACCTTCTCCACCTGAGACCATGTCCTCGATTAAGAGCAGCTGATCATTGGGGGTTTCTGCCTTTGATGCATGTGTACAGTCATCATCAGAATCAGAATCAGAATCAGAAAGGGTTTATTGCCAGATGTTGAGCAGGTTTACAACATTAGGAAATTGCTGCGGTGCTTCAGTGCAACATACTGTCATAGAAATATAAAAATAAGAATAAGAATTAAAAGTGCTAAGGTCATCATGTGAGAGAGGATGAGTGGAGAGAGAATTTCATACGGATGCAGATTTCTAAAAGTTTCTGATCTGGTGTAAAAGAAAGTGAGTTTTGGTTTTGCGTTAGTTTCAGTCTGCAGCTCCGCTGAATGAGGCGGCTGTGAGTTTACAAGAACAAAGTCACGCTCGCTGTCATCTACGTCCTCTTCTGCTGCGCTTTCTTTCCCTTTGTAAATATAATGAAACTGTGCAGTGTGTTTTTTAAAAGTTATCACAGATCGAACACTTGAAAATGTTTGACTGAACATCAAAAATTTGTCAAGTTTGACAAATTTTGGTGGAAAAAATCAAATCATAAGATCAACAAATGTATTTTGTGCACAGCTTAAGGAATAGTCGTCTAAGATATGTATATTTCCATTCACACACTCTAACATTATAAATGTGTTCAGCATATGAAACAAACAGAAACCTGCTGGAATGAAAACAGTGCGAAGTAGAAATGCTAAAAGCTGCAGTTCCTCTAACGTCCACCAGGGGCTCCAGCACAGAGTCAGTCCCCGTAGACTCTCGTGTTTAAACTTTACAGTAGAAATAAACATGTTTACATCCTGATACAAAAATGTTTTGGTCTCTGTACCTAATCTCCCCCATCATACATCATACATCTGTATGGGAGGTTTTTATTATTATTATTAACTCATTTGTTTAAATTACCTAGCTTAAAGTTGGGGGCGTGGCCTCTTTGACTGACAGGTAGGTCTCGACTTTGCTTCTTATGTTTGTGGCTTTTGGAGAATTTGAATCCAGTTTTATGACAAATGATACGATTTGTGTGCCGTTAGCTGCTGTTAACTGTTAACTGAGCCTCGAGGTGACTGTTGCTGCGATGTGCTGTCTAAATAAAACTGAACTGAAATGAAAAGTATTCACTGTTTCCTCTCTCAGCCGCAGCATGACATTTTTACATGGAAAACAAGCTGATTGGTTTCTGTTGTTACCAAATCTAAACATTTATTTGCTCGAGTTATGATCACAGAATTAAATGTGCAAAACTGAAATCTTTGTACGTTTGACTTTTTCAGATCATCTCAGTCAGAAACAGAAATCCAAACTTCACTAGGATTGTGTGACTATAAATCCCACTAACACAGCTGCTGGGCTCGTT